CATTCCAGGGTGTACCCTGTCTATCGCCTGAAGTTGGCTCCCCTGTGTGCAGGATAAGCGGTTTGACAATGGATGGATGGATGGAGATGAAGCAGAGCCAACGTGACATGCACTGTGTTCCAACCACATCCAGAGAGAGAGAGGGAGAGAGTGACAGACAACCACACAACGAGAGCAAAGAAAGAAACACAACAACAAGATGAATGTAGGAAAATACAACAAGGTCAAAGGGCAAGCAGAGAGATCCAAGTGCAGAGGTGTCAAACCTACGGCCGGTCCGGCCTGCCGGGGGTCCAGTGTGGCCTTGCCGGATGACTTTGCTAAGTGTAAAAATGACAGAAAGACATAAATTGCATTTCTACGAAAGTACCTGCTATTCAACTCCAGTGAGCGCACGCGTTAGACCGGGGGGATCGGTGTCACTCGAAAAGAACGGCGTGCAACCCCCGTCGACTGGACCATCCGCTCCCCCCCCCCACTCCTCCTGTCGATGATTTGACTGGTGACATCTAAGTGGACGGTATGTGGCCCCCTACCTAAAATGAGTTTTGACACTGTGCCCTGTGTGTGTAAAATTAAAAAATTAAACCGAAATGGAAAAGTGAGGTAATATGTGCAGTACTTTTTTTATAAAGAAAAACTAATATTTTACAGTTTATATATTTATAATTGTATATATATATATATATATATATATATATATATATATATATATATATAACTGTATGTAATTCATTCAAAACAAAGAAGGTACAACCCATTTGTGGGGCCTTCAATGATCCTATATCATCAAAGGGGGGCTAGCCAAAAAAGTTTGGGAACCACTGCATCAGGTTAACAGCTAGCCGCTAATGGCATCATTAGCGCTGGATGAGTTTACCTACTGGAGGAAGCTAAGCCATTTAGCACCAGTGGTTTGTTTGACAGAACAAGTGAACGGGTAATTAGCACCTGGGATTATGTTAAATTAAATTAACATTATTCTCAGGGTTTCTCCTTTTAAAGATTCAAATATTTAAAGATCAATTGAATCATTTCCAACCAGATCTACTCCCACAGGAGGAGCCTAAATGTTATTACAGGGTTTTGGGCCTTTGTTGTTGTTATTCTTTTCTTCCCACGATTCTTCTCCTTGGTCCATGTACTTATTTCCTCTCCTCCTTTCGAGCATTTAACTGTCTCGTCTTCACGCTCAAGTTTTACTTTCAGATTTTTCCCTTTAATCACTTTGTTGGTTTTCCATGCCATGCCATGGAGCGTATTTATCCAAGATAACAGTTGGGTTTCCCCTCACTTTACGGGTGATGGAGGATAATTGGTGTGTGTGTCTGTGTGTGTGTGTGTGTGTTTGTTTCTCTGCTTGTCTGTGTCCCCACATTCTGCCAAGCTGATTGCTCCTGGCTGTTCTGAGCCCAGCTTCTGTTCTGAGAGAAACAGAGAAGCCGGTTAGTGTGTACGGACAGGTTTCCGAGTCAGACGGTGACTCCAGTACGCCAGCACACGTTTGCATGACGGTCATAAGTTTGCATTTCCACTATTTTTATCAGGAATATCCATTGCTGTTAACCGTTTTTTAAACATGTTACTGCTTATTTTGAAATAACCCATCCAGTTTTTTTGTTTTTTTCTTAGTTTTAGCAACGAATCTCAATTTTTAGTTTAGATATTTCACTATTTACCCATGGCTACTTTTTATTTCGTAACATGTATTTTCAGAAGGTTGCCTTCTTTGTCCACTATTCAGTTTTATGCAGTCTTGGTACACATAATATTCATGTGCTGTGTACAACTCACAGAAGGAACAACAAACATCAAATGGTGGTCACTACAAGAAAAAAGAGGATAAATAAAGAAATAAAATCAAGGAATGAAGAAATAATGTCCACTCCTGAATGTAATATTGTAGGTGCCACATAGGGAATGTGTAATGTGTGTGCATAGAGAGTTAACGGACCACAGTTCAACCAGAGCAACATATGATAATAACTCTCATTGTATTATGCAGTGTCAGGACCCCATCGCTTTGTAAAGATAGACTTTTGAAGCCTTAATTAAAATGTGATTTGTTCCATTTGAGTCAGAATCAGAAGCCATTTATTGCCACACATGCTACACATTTTTTAGAATTTGTCTTGATAGATGTCCCATACCTTTTGGATCCATATATCGCATAGTGGGATCTGGTTGTTATACCCTCAGTGCTGCTGCGATTAGTTGTTTAGAAGGTATTTTTTGGCCCTCCCATCCAGGCCTTCGTGTATTGCTCCTAGTAGTGCTATTATGGGGTCTTGTTGCGTGTCCTGTTTGATTCCCTCAAAGAGATATTCAGAGACTTCTCTCCAGTATGCATTTAACTTATATGTGTGGGATTGGCAGCATGTGTTCTAAAGTTCAGCCAACACAGGCCGCATCTTGGTTATAATTTTGGTAGTTCTGAATAATCTGGCAATTACTTTTAATTGAAATAAACTGGAAACGAGGTGTGCCTCTTTGCACATTTCTTCCCAGGTATCCTGGGGTGACATAAACCTTCCGTCGCTCTTTCTGCTCGGCATCTGCCAATCTGCTTGTTGCTACTTCACAGAGAGCTAAACACAGGACATATTCCAGGCTGTTTACTGTACTGGGCCCTAAATGTTGGAATGAGCTCCCAAATGACATCAAGACAGTATAAAGCTTAGACAGCTTCCGGTGTCTTGAAGAATTTGTACTTTCTTGATTCTTGTTGTTCTGGTTCTGTCTTAATTGAATGCACATATTGTATGTTGCTTTGGATAAAAGGGTCAGCTAGATCATAAATGTAAATGCGAATTTACCGGAGGGCTAAAAATAAGAATACAATTTGAAATTTGATAGAAATCCAAACAATTGAACCAGATTGACTCATGTCTGGGAAGCCAGGATGAGATTCCTTGGCTCTCTGTCTGCCTGCTGCACTGTAAGTAATTGTGTTTAGAAAACACAAGCTGAAAGACTTCCTCCCTTTCAGAAAAGCAAGTCACAAAAGGAAAAACCTGAGCCCAGGGCACTTCTTCATCTGGATCTGATTCTCTATTCTTGGCTGGTTGCTTTTGACATGACCGGGGCCCGATACAGACTTTGATGGAACAAGATAAAGGACAGGTTTCTGACAGGCAGGAGATGGTAGTACTTCTCAGCGGGTTTTACTTCGGACAGCAAGGAAACTGAGACATAAAATTGGTTCAGTAGAACAATTAGTTCCCCACAACCTAGACAAGGAAGATACCTTTAGATAAAAACACAGTTTCTGAAAGAAATATGAGTGTTTTCCTGCTCCATGCACGTCTGTATCCTCGGCCAAGCATCTAAAGGTGGCTGCAAAGTGCAAGCACAGGAAGCAACTGTCTAGTGTTTCCTCAGGAAACAGAGTCCATTTCCATTTCAGGCTCGTGGACAGAACCGGAATCTGTTCTGCGTAAGCGCTGCAGGGTTAAAAATACCGGAGTATAAAGGCAAAGAGTTGGAGCACACTGGTCCGTCACGACACCTGCAAGGGCACAGAGACAAAAAACACTTGCATTTAAAACCAAAGCTGCCCAATCTAATGACATATATTCTGTGGAAAAAGAATGAAACATTTTTTTTCTATTGTCAAAAAATACTTTCTTTTTTAATTACATGTTGTTGTTTTGTTTTTTTTCTTCGTTAGAATAAACTTAGAATGACAATCACTAAACAACTTACATTGCTTGTGCTGACGTTAACAAACTTGAAATAAAATACAGAAATAACCTTATACAACCTTAAATAATATATATATTCCCTTTTTTCCTAAATAGTATTTTACAGACACAGACATGTACAGCATGTTATCTTAATTATTAAACACAGAGGGATGTCCATGCACAAATTAAAGAGTACGACTCATTCAATTTGCTTGTTTCTTTTCAGGATTTTTAAAAACTTTTCAACCTGCTAGTTGGAATACTTAATAATAATACATTTAATTTATATAGCGCTTTTCCAAATGCTTACGTCACTTTACATAAAATATTTTTTGAAATCCTAAAAGCTAAATAAATAAAAACAAGCAATTAGCGAACACACACAGAACACAGTCATTACATTAAGATTCCCTATTTAAAAAACCTATTCGAGTATATATTTTCCCTGGAATGCATGTTAATATAACCCCGAAATAAAGACACCAAATAGTAAAGCTCGGTACTCAAACTTCAGTAAGACCTGAAAGAGTAAGTGAAACCATTTCTTGGTCTAATTCTTTCCTGTGGGCGCTTCTCAGGCACCTGAACACTTCACGGCACTCTCGGGACCGCGTGGGGGGGGTCATTAAGAAACACGGACAGCTTTGTTGACAACCAGATTAGCCGGTTGTTTCGATGAGCCGCTACTTCACACGTTTGCAGGGATCTGCCAGGGACAAATTAATGAGGTGAGCTGCGGGTGCGCTTTCGAAGAGCGCGGGGGGACGAAACCGCTGGGGGACATTTCTCCACGTCCGAAGGGCGGCGAGTGATGTCAGACTTGTCCTCATAAAATTGTTCATTTTGTCTTCACTTTATGACACTCGGCACGAGGACTTCCGGCCACCTCAGTGACCTGGCACGCACTGGAACGCTGGCCTCTTGGCACGCACTGGAACGCTGGCCTCTTGGCACGCACTGGAACGCTGGCCTCTTGGCACTCCCTGGCCCCGTTCAGTGTCGGCCCCCTGCGCCCGCCTCCGAGTGTTTTTGCACCTCAGTTGGTTAAACATCTTCACAAAGTCGTTCTCACTGACGACCGGCCAGTTTTTAAAGCATGCACATGTAACATGAACCCATTGGCCCCCTTCGTGTCGCAGCGTTGACAAATCATGGGGCATTATTGTGGGCGCTTCACTGACTTACCTGCGTGACGCACCTGAATGCCACTCAATGTTTGTTTGCGCCAGTTAGTTGCCGTGGGGTTTGGATGGAGGGCTGAAGCCCCGCCTCTCCCCTTTGGAAGGAGGTATAAAGACGCTGCGTGTGCGCGGTAGATACTCGCATTCCGATAACGCTCCGCGGCTGTCAAACAGACTGACGCTGCATGGATTTATAGCTATAGAGTTTATCTTCGGGTTTGCGGTTTCTAACTTTAGTTTTCGAGACTTCTAACCGGTCAGCATGGCTCTGGCTGAAGCGATGACGCCTGTCTCCTTTCCAAGCATCCAAGCCATGGAAGCCAAACAGTTCGAGCATGTAAGTAGAGGATTTCATCTCAGCGTCTGTTTCCTGCTGTGTAGATGTACTGTGTTGCCTCGCAAGCTGCAATGTTGGTTTTAATTCCCCCGTTGGCTTCCCCACGAACAGATGTGCAAGGTGGACGAGTATGCGCGCCGCGGCGCAACAGGCAGCGCGTCCAGCCCGCTCCTCGAAGTGGAGTTCAGCATCGTGCGCGCCCCCGCCGCGCTGCCCAAAGACGATGACGACCTCGGGAAGTTCCTGGACATCGAGTTCATTTTGTCCAACACCATCGACTCCAATGTAATGAGCAGCAGCGGGAGCGTCTCTCCGCCGCAGCAGCGCGCGTACTCCCTGCCGGAGTCGCCGGAGAGCTGCGGCGGGGGTTCTGCGTTGGACGGCGGCGACCGCGGGCACAATCCCGCTGGCCTGGCCGCGCAGAGCTACAACGGCGCGGGGATCTTTGCGGATTCGAGTCCGGTCCGCAGCCTCATGGCCGAGCTGCTCACGACGGAGATTGGCTACCCGGGGGAGAGCTCGCCGGAGTGCGCGGGGAAGGCGAGAGACAGGCGCGAGTACACCGAACTGCGGGCAGTAAATCCGGTCTCCGCACCGGCCGCTCCCGCTCATCACCAAGTGGCCGCCTCTCCTCCGCCGCTTGGATACAAAATTAAAAGCGAGCCCGTCGGTCAGTCCTGCATGGTGGCCGCCGGTTGCGGGGACTTTATGGGACAGATGTACGAGAGAGCCCAGATGCGCTCTGTGCAGCAATCTGTGTACACGCACCGCCAGGCTGCGGTTCCAGGCGCTCTGACGGGATTCAGCGCGCACCCCATGCAGAACTCTGTACCTCAGGGACGCACAGACTGCCATATGGCGCAAATGAACACTCACCATAGCCAACAACATCTCCAAAACCAGTACATGAGCGCGCCCTACCAGCCGCAGTACGTGCACCAGAGCGTGGCGCAGTTTCCAGGACCGTACGGCGTTCACCAGCAGCATCCCGCATCCATGCAGGGAATGATGCTCACCCCGCCGTCTTCTCCATCACTGCTGGAGTTCTACGCACAAGAGGAGGCGTTGAGCGGCAAGCAGAAGCGCGGGCGCAGGTCGTGGGCCAGAAAACGCGCCGCGACGCACAGCTGCGACTTCCTCGGCTGTGGGAAAACCTACACCAAGAGCTCCCACCTCAAAGCCCACATGAGAACACACACGGGTAAGCACATTTCTGACCACAGCGTTTCAATTGTCAGCCTTTTTGCCCCTTTTCTTTTGACTGTTGTTCTTCTTCACTGCAATCTAAACAAAGTGTTTTGCTCACGTCTCTCAGGAGAGAAGCCCTACCACTGCAACTGGGAAGGCTGCGGCTGGAAGTTCGCCAGATCGGACGAGCTGACCCGTCACTTCCGAAAACACACCGGACACAGGCCTTTCCAGTGTCACATGTGCGAGCGTGCGTTTTCCCGCTCAGATCACCTGGCTCTCCACATGAAGAGGCACATGTAGACCAGACTGAACTCAAAAGCATCCAAAATGCCTTCTGATGGTCGGGCCCGAGGAGCATCTCAGGAGAAGCACAGGTCGGCCCCTCGCCTTCCCGAAAGGCCGCCTGCGGGTCCAAACCCAAGGAAACAAGACGCCTCCATGGGGACCGGTGGGTGTGGGTGGGGTGCGTTGTCACCTGATGGTGTCATGAGGTACCACGTGTGTTTTTCAAAAGGCCGGGTGTCTCTCCAATAGGGTCAAAAAGGATGAACACTGGTGTCGTTGTGTGTTGTACATAGCTGTGCTCATTTGAAATGACTAAATTATGGTTTGTATTTAAGACATGTCCTCGCCTGTCTCTGAAATAAGTTATTGATTGTGAGGGTGCCTTAACAAGACTGCATATTTGCTTCCCAATTGTGACTCACTCACTGTGGGCAGGACCCAGAACCGTGTACATTGTATTCAGGAATGTTTACATCTTATATCTTTGATACTACTCAAATCAGGTCAGGGTGTTTTTTAAATTGATATTTTTTCATATAAATATATATATTGTCTAATCTTTGTAGGCTGTCATTCCACATGTTTCCTTTTCGTCTGTGGTTTCTCGAGCAATGCTCACAAACTCAGGTACCAACGCTCATTCTCAGTCTAGGAGCAAGCAGAGCGCCACTCTCACGTCACTCAATATGTCTCTTGCAGCTCAGTGTTTTTTGGGGATAGGACCTATTTTCTTATGGAAGATATTTTAACGTTTTCTAAGAATGAAGAAATCCACTGCAACCATTAGTTGTTCCTCTGTACTTGAAACAGAATTGTACCTTTTGAGATGTACCTTTTCTTTTCCTCACCGATGCAATTGTCTGTTATCTGCAAGGGCTCTGAAAATAAAAGTACTTTTACAAATATGTCTGTCACCAAGCCTCCTCCTTCCTACTCCACTCAATTCCAGTGCTTTCAGTTTCTGCAGGCCCGCTCGCACTGATGACCCTCTGACACGTTCTTATTATTCTGATATAATCCTCATCACTGTGTTGTTAGATGAAGATTTACAACAAAAACAACCGAGGTATGATTTGTTTAATACTCTCCTTTGGTCGTGACATCTAACAAAGCTCTTGTATGCAAATTTTCTGAAAGTTGTGTTAATTCAGCATGTTTTAGGACACAGTGGTCGAGTCTGAGGCGAAGGGAAATGAAGATCTACCTTATTGTAGATTGTAGCCCTTTTACCATGCACCACCATCTGGCATTACATGAGTTATAACATTCAGTAGCGTTACGGCAGTACGCATTATTACAGTGATGTTATGTAGTACACCCTACCATTCATGTGTACATAATATGTACACATGAATGGTCAGGTGTCGCTCAAGCTTAATGTCTCCTTTTATGAAAGGCTGCCCTCTGCAGTTCATTTCTATAATAGGCAGCAGTAGCGCCACCTGTCGGCGACTCGGCAAACAACAAGCAAGTCCGTAAATGAATGACTACTTCAGAAACCAAAGAACTATCACCTCTCTGTGGAGGCCTTGGTCAGGCCTCCACGGGGCACAGCCATCATGTATGACCAATCACATCTAAGACACACCTCTGCAATCTATAATACTACTACTTTTATTTTCTGTTTTCCACCATTTGCCTTTAATTCACTCGGTAAAATATCGGATTTAATAAACATCATCATGTGTGAGCAATGTTTTAAATCTAAGTTGAGCCCAAAAATCGGGCGTGGTTATAACACCTTAAATCTTCTACATTGTTAGAAACAATTATTTATAACGTAGTAGAATCATCTCATCATGGCCCAATGTTCGTTGAAAGCCATAAACTGGATCCATGGTGGTAATTGTGGGAGGTGTGTGTGTGTGTGTGTGTGTGTTGCGGTCATCGTGACTTGTGGTACTGCCGCCGGCCACAAAGAGGCGGCAACACCTCATGCCATTTGTGAGCGGCGGCTTCAGGGTGCTGCCTTTCATTTATGGACTACAGCGCTTTTCAAATGCATCGCTTCACACTCATTGCGGTTAAACATTGTGCAATGGAAATGGAAATCACCAGAAAAAACGAAGGTTAGATAAACACTGTCCAGTGATGATATTCACACCTGGTTGATTAAACCCGTTATAATATTCTGTAACTATCAGCGATGGTTCACGGGTGTTTGCTTTAAATGTTGTGTTTTATATTTCTGTCATCACTTTTTACTGATGTAACTGAAGATTACAAATGAGGTGTGAGGAGGCTCCAGCATCACAGCAGTCCACTCAACACACCGAACCGCCCTCAGCTCCACACTTTCTACACAAGACCGCTTTGATGTTGTTTACAGTTATATAATAAAAAATGATCCTATATGTAAGGTCAGGCATACAGTTGTAGCCAAGCACAAAGCCATTTTAGGTTATTAAAAAAACATCCTAAGCTTTGAACATTTCACAGAGTCCCATAAAATCCATCATTAAAAAAGGGAAAAAATATGGTACAACTGCTAATCTACCAAGAGAAGGCCGTCCACTCAAACTGACAAGGTAGAAATTAATCAGAGTAGCAACTAAGAGGCCCATGGTAACTCTGGAGGAGCTGCAAAGATTCACAACTGAATCTGTCCACAGGACATTCAATAGCAGTGTACTCCACAAATCATGGAGTTATGGAAGAGTGGCAAAAAGAAAGCCACTGTTGAAAGTAAACCGTAAGAAATCCAAGTCATGTGGGAGACACAGCAAACATCTGAAAGAAGGCGCTCTGGTCAGAACCTTTTAGCCTCAATGCAAAACGCTATGTGGTGGAAAGCTTGAGCAAACCATCCCAACAGTGCAACATGGTGGTGGGGATGCTTCTTTTCAGCAGCTACAGGGACTACTGGTCAGAATGAAGGAAGGCTGGATGGAGCCAAATACTGGGCAATTGTTGAAAACACTTTGATGCAGTTTGAAAAGACTTGAGACTGGGGCGGGGGGTTCATCTTCCAGCAGGACAATGACCCTAAACATACATCCAAAGCTACAATGAAATTATTTAGCATTATTCATGGTTTAAAATGGCCCAGTCAAAGCCCAGACCTCAATCCAATTGAGAATCTATGGCAGGTTTGGAAAATGTATCATCCAATCTGATTAACTCGAGCCGGTGCAAATGAAAATCCAAAGCCATCATAAGAGTACAGGTGGAACTAATGGTAGTCGGCCCTGTTAGGCAGTAAAAGTGAGCTTTTTCATCCTTCATAATCCCCCTCAGTGAAAAAGAAATATGTTGTATGCTTCATGTTTGAATTTTAAACAAACAGATGGTATGTTGCTGGTGTATTTTATTTGCTTGTTCCACCTTTAAAACCGAGTTAAATCGCTGTGCTCTCCACACCACACAACTTGTCTTGTACGTGGACTCTCAAAGTGGTTGGCGGCCTAGATCAGGAAAAAATCTGGCCAAAAACCATAATTTGTCATAATTTGGGCTTGAATCACTTAACAGATTGAAATTATTAAATGAAATGAATAATCTTGCCTGTATTGTAAGTTGTTGTAAGATGATTGAGTGGTATAATCAAAGTATCTGTTTTGTAAAGATGGAACCTGCCGGCCCATATTCTCTGGGTGGTTCCTGCTCTTCGTCTGATGCTGTAAAATATGACAGCCTTTGTAGAAATGCCGAATTTAATTTCAAACTGAGTGCGCTGGAGTCCCCAGTCCATATCCATTATTCTGTGCACCCGTCTGGTAGAGAATACGGATGAGCAAGAAAAGCTTTTTGTATCCTTCTTTTGAATATTGCTAATAAAGAGGAATGATACATGTCTGCCAGTTGCTGGTTCAGTCATACCAATATTTCGAGTTTGTAAAAAAGCTGGGCAAGCTAACAAATATCTCAGTTTTATTAAATGGCCACACACACAGAGGGAAAGCAATGCCATACTCTGTTTGTTTCGCGCTGACACAAACCACAGATATCTAAAAAGTAAATTCAGTTTCTACAGCTTTTGTCCTTTAGGCTGGTAAGTTAAGAAACGCTTCCTCTGGGAATCAGTCATTGTATGTTGTGTGACAGAATGGCATACACAAGTTGCAGCCTTGTTTGCGTTTGACCGGTGAAGCACCATTCGGCCCCCGAAAACGTCGCCACGATTGTTCTGGCACCTTCAAAGAGTGCTAGCCCAGGAGCTAGTTCGTCTCATGTTGCTAGCACATGAATGCCCCGGGTTTGACTTGGGATCCGTACAGAATGTGTCTGGGTATTGTCCCCAATACATTAGGAACAAGGAGCATAAAGAAATCCTGAGAACAGTATTGTCCGACACGTTTGTGCATGATCAAGACACACAGGTCGTTTCAGAGCAGTGACCACCAAAGGGATGTTCTCTGGCTAGATAGACAACATACGTATTGTCTTATCTGTATTTGGAACAAGTTTCAATAGAAAACGGGTATTTTGAACTACATGAAGCATTCTGCAAGTGACTTTTAGCAAGTACAAATAAATTAAATATTGGCCTATGGTTGTTCAAAATAGCTGGGTCACCACATTTAAACAATGGGAAAACCAAGGCAGATTTACATTTACTTTGCCAGTGTCTTATTTTCCATTGTCAGATTAAAAAGATACGCAAGAAGCTTTGCAAAAAAATCTGCAGCCACTTTCAAAAAGTAAGGGTCTATACAGTCGGGCCTTGAAGGTTTCATATGAGCTTTTTAGGGCTTTATGAACTTCATGTGCAGAAAATGGGGTAAAATTATAAAGCGGACCAGTATGAACTGGAACACCAGTACAGGGTGTCAGAGACCTTGGACAACAAGAGTCAAACAGAGAGCCAGAAGATATTTTGCTAAAACAATTCCGTATCTGAATTTGGTCATGAACAGCGTCAGATTACTTATAACAAAAGAAGGTAAACGTGTGAGTTCTTGCTAACAGAGAGGGATTTTATAGTTTTATAGCAGTGCGAGACAAATGATACGAGTACGAGACAAATGATATTCCGATTTTGCTTTCTTAATAAATGTGGAACATTTTTTTAGTTGTCTAAACACAAGCGAGTCAGTAGCAGAACCTGTTTTTCCTTGTCTTAGGCACAGCCAATATTTGCTTATTAATACTGTCAGCTAGATTAGAGGAGAACCAGGGATTATTAAGTCCCTGTACTCTGTATCTCCTGAAAGGGGCGTGTGTATTTAGGATTTGAGTAAAACCATCATTAAAAAAAGACCACGCTGTCTCCACATCAACTCTATCCTCCTCCAATTAATATTAAACAAATCATGATAAAACCCTTTTCAAGGCACTTAACATTTAAATGAACAACTCAGAGATTCTCTTTAATTACATGCAAGTCAACATTGCATATTCCCCCCAAAGTTAACTTTGTGGCGAATGATGGATTAGTATTCAGTGCGGGTGCCCAAGCTATCCGTGGCCCCTTAAAGCCTTGTGTACCTAACCCAAGGGATTCTGGGTTTTGTCAACTGTCACTAGGTCAGAGGTCAAACTGTGCTTAGAGATTCTGTGCAGAACTTTTAAGGGGCAGTATGACTTTAATTATAACATGGGCATGGACATAACATATTGACATAGTGAATAATGATAGATACTGGGTTTGTTTTGGCCCAAATGCTTGTCTTCTGTAAAGAAATCACAATTCCACAATTCATTGTAATGGTACATTCAAATAACACATTTTCTGACTGACACACACTTATGCGTTTCTGCTCTATTTCCCCAGCCCTCAGATCTGTTCCAGACACCTTATGGGCAGCGCATAAATATGACGTGGGCCAACCTGTGGTCATCACGCCTCGATCAGACTTCGGTCCTCACAAGCATCAAAACCCACTCCGCCATGAGGCCGTTGATGGTATAACACCAGTGTTCAACTCTCTCTTAAAGGCCAGGGTAATTATTCCATGTAATGTATCTCCCCGGAAGAACACCTTTTTTTCCTGTTAAAAAGATCAGAGATGCAGGCAAACCACCTCAGTGGCGCTTCGTGCAGGACCTAAAAGCACTTAATGCAGCCGTCTACGCACGAGCCCCAAATGTTCCCAACCCTTACACCATTACGGCACAGGTTCCACCTGATGCTCAATGGTTTTCCGGGGTTGACCTCTCAAATGCTTTTTTCAGTGTCCCTCTGGACATTGACAGTCAGTTCTGGTACGCTTTAACTTTCAATGGCAAGCTTTACACTTTCACATGTTTGTGTGAGGGCTACACAGAATCACCTACCATCTACAACGAAGCACTCAGGGAAAGCTTAGAGAGCCTCACTTTGTCAGCTCTTCTGCAGTATGTTGATGGTTGTTTAATCACAGCTCCAACACAATAAGTGTGAGGAAGACATTCAAATTGCTCAACACCTAGCAGCAGAGGGACACAAGGCCAGCCTATCCTAACTACAGTTTGTTTCACAAAACGTTCATTTCCTTGGTCATGACATTTCCGGTGAAGGGTAAAAACTCTCCAAAGCGCATTGCCTCAATTGCAACAGTTCCAAAACCACAAACAATGAAACAAATGATGTCATTTTTGGGTATGTGTTCCTACTGTAGGTCATTTATTCCAAATTACTTTCGGCTTGAACAACCTCTGTCCGCATTAATACAAAAATCTCACCGTACATGATAACATTTAGTGGCTTCCTGCGACCTCCAAAGCTTTCACAGACATGAAATGCGCCTTACAGGTTCCTCAGACTTTGGGTCTTCCTCACAACCACACATCCACACAAACCGTTCACTCAAACCGTCGACGAACGTTCTGTGTTGACAGATCTGCTTCACAGGATCCCCTTACAGGTATTAATGTTGTGGGTTTCTCTATTGTTTCAAACTCAACTGCTCTGTTCCGGGCCTCTTCCATGTCACCTCTCAGCCCAAGCAGCAGAACAAGTCACGCTCACAGAAGCTTGTAAACTGGCCAAGGGCCAAACGGCAACCATTCACACTGATTCCAGTTATGTTTTTGGCATGGTTCATGATTTTGGCGCATTATGGAAACACAGACGTTTCCGTAAATCAGATGGCAAACCAGTGTTATACCACTCTAATTGCAGAACTATCTAACACTGACAATATCTCAAATGGAAATGAGCTCAGCTGCAAAAGCTGCTGCTAAACGTCCCATTCCCAAACCATGCCCAGTTCATCTCTCTTGCTCCTCTCTTGCAGCCATGCAGTCACTCTCTACATCAGATGGGAGACGCCTGTGGTCCTTCTCCAACTCCCCATTCACAGACGGTACCTGGTATGGTCCGAATGGTACCTCTTGTTTTTCTAAAACCATTTTTCCCACATTATGCCAAATTGACTTATGGGTTAGAATATGTGTTTGCACTCTGTCAAGCATGCATAACATGTGCAACTCACAATGTAGGTCACCCAGTGCCGGTGTCTCATCCACCACAAGACCATTTGAACATGTAATGATGGATTTTGTGGTGCTCTCCCCATTGGAAGGTAAGAATCACTGTCTTGTGATGGTAGACATGTACTGTAGTCCAAGTGTGGACCAAGAGGTGTTTCCATCTAGTAAGCAGACAGCAGCCACAGCGGCAAAAGCTCTGATTTCAGAATTTTGTCAACCAAGCAATCATAGAAATAAGTGCATACATGCGTATTGACTTTAAAACACACTGCGCATACCATCCGTCTAGTGGAGGAGCGGTAGAGACATTGAAAACAAAACTGGCCAAATGCTGCACAGACACAGGTTTACCCTGCACAAAAGCGCTGCTGATGTATATGCGAATGAGGAAACAAACTGGCAGCAACTTAAGCCCATTCAAAATCCTTTTTGCAGTTCCAGCAACACCACTCCCTTCCACCACACTTGAGTGAAAATGACACGTCAACCTATCGCATTCAACTGTCTTCTAGTTTGTCTGATGTAAGGAAACAGGTTGTAGCTGCACTTCCGAGGGAAGCCACTGGTTCTCTACACTATGGGGTCAGATCAGTCTCAATAATTGCAAATCTACACCGAAAAATTCACAAATGCGCACAGAGCAATTCACAAATATATTCAATTTACAAAATAAGTTCAAAGCTATTGTTCTAAACAAACTACACAACTTAGCAACACACTTGATATCTATTTCCGCTTGTAACGTTCATCTTTTCAAAGTAATCTTCATTTTTCTCAAGAAAAGATTATGAAAATACATTTATATTTGATTGAAGGAATAAAACAACTTGGTACGTCTTAAAGAAGATGATATAATATGTACGTTTAGGTAACAAAGCTACTTTGTTTCAGAAAATGTAATACAATACTTGGTTTGGTTTAAGTAACAAAACTACCAAGTTAACCTAGAACAGATAATATACTTAGATTTAGAAAATATTATTTATAATTAAATTACTTGGTTAGTTTAGGGAAATACTGTAAAATACGTATATTTGGGCAACAAAACTATAGTTAAAAAAAAAATATTACAAAATACTTGTTTATTTGTATGCAACAAAACTAGTTAGTTAGTGTCAGATAAGATTGTAAAATACGGTTCAAGTAACGAAACTACTAAGTTTGTCTTAGGAAAAGGCAGTAAAACCTTTGTTTATAACTAAACTTAGTTTTAGAAGAAATAATAAAATACTTGGTCAGTTTTTCTCTTTGGATTTTTGTTTCAGGGAAGACTGCATCCGTCATTTTAGACCCCTTTTGATGATTTACGTAACGTTCAATGCACCGTTTGTTCTGGCAAACGCTTATCTTTCTTATCTGTGAAAATACCACCTGCTCCGTTTTCTGACATTTAATTAGAACTTGTGGAATGTGTCAAAATGTGGCTGCAGACTGACGATAAACATGAAACGGATGAAATAACAGTGAAGCCTTCTTGGCTTCTGAAAACCTTGCCCAGTTTCAAAGAATTTCTCTCAGTGTGCAACAGGAAACGTATATGATGCTGTGCAGAAGTGCGTCCTGACGCCTTCACTTCGAAAGGTTTCCAATGCTGTTACCTCTTTATGTACTTTTACCATTTTTAATGTGTTCCATAATACACTTTTAAAACTTCATATGACTCATTTAGCATGTGTTTTTCTTCTTTATTTGGATGCTGTTAACTTGTAGCATTCAGAGATCATCCCTTGAGAAATATTTAGATAAATGCTAAACACATTCAATAAAACCAAATAAAAGTATACAATTTTCACGGAAGAAATTGCTTTTGTCAGGGATGTTTTATATAAATATGCCACCATTAGATTGTTCTTACTGATGCATTTGTGGGCAGCATTTTACTTCCGGCCACAATTTCAAATATGAGAAGTGACTGGGGGATCTCACCGGACATCTCTTCTTTGGGTAATATCATATGTCAAATGTGAGTCTATAAAAAAAAAAACTACTCTCATCACTGGATCTGCTGCAACAAGGACAGTGGGAATACTTTGCTTTATACTACGCTTTGTTTGGAGGCTTTCAAAGTGTCAAACAGTGTTTGTGTGACATATTAATTTCCAAAATTATTTATGTACCCTTCACGTTTATATGTATTTTTTATCTTCCATATACACATAATGTTCATGAAACGTGTTTTACCTTTCATAGTGCCTCCTTTCAACATAAGATACAAATATTGGTAATTTAAAGCATTACCAATATTTGTATCATAAGTAAATTAAGTAGAGAACATAACGTTTCCCCGAAGCAATGCCGGATTGTGTGACAAAAGATTGTTGGCTGTGCCGCTGCAAATACTGAAACCCCTCAACCTCCCTCCTGTCAACCCATGCCTGCGACCATCGCCGTGCCCGTGTCTCCTCCTCGCGCTCCTTCTCCCAACAGCCTACAACCTGCTCCCACCCCTCTCCCCCAAAAGCAAAAGGTAAAAGTCCGCATCTGCATGCCCACACCCACCCACGCCTCAACCAACCGACCATCCATCCCTTATTATCTCATACGTGGCCGCCGGGAGCCTCTCATCCATCACCGGTGGCAACACAGCGAGGCTACCACACCTGTCCGGAGCGTCGCATTACTGACTCATTACCGCCTTTTCACCGCGGATGTAAGAGAATGCGCGTCGACATATTTCTCCCTCCCTCAAAACGCAACCTGCAATGCATTTCGGATGCGGTCCCTGATTGCGCTACAAAAAAAGAAGAAAAAAGACAGTGGTGAGAGGAAGCGTTGCGGCACGCATTGTTGACAAAGGAACGAGCGACACCACGTGCGCGCATTCCTCCGCCAAACGAGTGTAGTGCGCTTTGCAGGGGGATCTTTTATATTTATATTTTCCTACTTGAATTATGTATAATATTGTAGCTTAATTAATTTCACTGCATCTATCGCACTATTTCGCCGTTTTTATTTTCAAATAACTGTTGTGGGTGTGTGTGTGTGTGTGGACACGTTGCCAACCCCCCTCCCGCCTGTTGTGTAGTGAGAAAGGCGGGCGCTTAAGCAGAAGTAGTTGGCCGAGTGTCACCGCACAGAGACGGGAGGTGATGCAACTTCTATGTGCGCGATACTGGCGGATTTAAAAGAAAACTCAAGAGTTGACGGCCGCGAGCTCCCCTTCACGGTAAGAGGACGCCTTCCTCGTGCACGGGAAGAGAGAGTTTTTGTGTTTTCATTCTCTTGTTCCAATTTTGAACAGAATTCTAAAATAATTGTACGCTACAGCGTAATGTGATAACATACTCCCTAAAAGGGGCCGCTTGAGGCTGCTGGTTGTGGCAGATTTGCACACATGGCTGTTAAGGAGACGTAAAAAAAGACCGACATTCAACACGTGTCCGTGAAGTGGACAGTTGTTGATGGAGGCGTTTGAGACGGGGGTGCGGGCAGTAGTAGAGCCGTTATATTATCTCAGCGGGGAGGAACACGTGGCACCGGCTGTGGCCTCCCCCTTGTTAGGGGGGGTGGGGGGGAGGTTGTTAATATGCTTTTGTGGATTATTAAAGCAATTACCTAGTGAGAAATAAACGTGTTAAATGACTATGTCTTTAGGTCGGTGAGATGAGATAATGACAGTTTAGAACCATTTAGCTGAATGGTCAGAGCTTTTTTCCCCACGGATCGTTGGGGAAATATATAATACAAGGTGATATTTTTTGAGTATGTATGCTTCTCACAAGGTGAACAGCCTCTTCCAGCTGCACGTTATCTCGTTCCTCGAACGGTGACAAGCTATGAAGGCCGGTCCCACGCCTCGGCTAGTGCTGCTGTGCTTCAGTTACAAGCAGCCGGTCAGACTGCCTTTGTTTTCCTGCTCATGCAACGCAGAAAGTCAAATATGTGAGACCATACGTGCATGTGTATTTATATTTGTATGTTTATGCAGGCATTTATGCATAGATACACACATTTGATCAGCTTGTGCACCTTGCTCTCAGCTCTCCATCATTTGACGGCTGTGTTTGAAATGTCAAAAATCTCACATTTAGCCAGAACGTTTTCAAAAAACAGTCTTCTAAGGACACAGTGGTGGTTCACTGCAGAGTGTTACTTACAAATGGTACGTTACCTACGTTAAAAGTCATAGTCAGGTGGGACCAGCATGCACTTGGGTGACAAATAGGTTTTACCAGTGCGCCAGTAAGACAGAGTGACGGAGCACTGCATAGGAAGGCAGCAAAATTGTATTGTGGATTCTGTGGATTAAAGGTGAAATAAAGGAAAAGATCGCCCGTACAATCAGCTTTCTTACAGCGTGAAAGAAAACAAAAACTAGGTGCAGCAGTGGCCCTTTGAGATGTAAAGATTGGTTGGTAACAAGGACAAATGGCCACTACGATATATGTGTGTGTGTGTGTGTATATATATATATGTATGTATGTGTATATGTTGGGGGTGTAACGATTCATTCAGTGAATCGATTAATCGATTTATATTCCTGCGATCCAACTGTATCGATCTGTGCTCCGCCAATTAGCATTCCAGATGACATATATCGATTACAAATCGATTGAAATGGTACATAATCGATTGTATCGATACTTGGCACATTGGATTTAAGCACAAAAACGAACCAACAAACCAACTTATCGATCCAGCGTGTGGAAACATTTTGGCTTTTGTAAACACAGAGGTGTTCTGATAAGGTGTTCTGAATAAGTCGGAAACACGACGAATCTTTCCGGCCATCTACTAAGGCGCCGTGGGATTAAACAACGGCGACAGTCAGGCATATATATACATACATGTGTTTATGTACACAGGGTAGGACATTTACCAGCGAAATAATAATTCTAGAGGATGAACAGACGTCCAAAGGTTTGTCTCTTCAGCCATCAAACATGTGGCATTGTTTATTATAGAACAGTCCAACTTGTGAAATAACATTTAAAACTTTGTTAAAAATAAGAAGTATACTTATTTGGGCTTCCTGTATATGCATTTGTCGTCAACGGCAGCAATATGCTTATTATGCAGTATTCTACAGATTCAAAATAAACAGAAAACAAAGTTAAAATATTTGAACTTTGGGCAAAAAGACAATTTAATCTTTTCGCGTCCCACGCTCCGCGTCTTTCGCGTCATTTGTGGCGCCTGAATAAAATTTGCCTCATTTGACTATACATGCACTTTACATGGAATCTACTCGCGTGAATAATTCGCTTTGCTTTTGGTGTGAACGCAGCACAAGAAGCGCTCAATTTTTCCATCAGTCAAGGTTAAAATCCAAACAATCCATGGCAACTGGACTGGGTCATAAAGGCTACAATGTTTTTGACAACTTAACTAAATTGTAATTATTGTTGGAGGAATTATGGGGAAATTTTTTGTCCCTCTCCTAGTGACATCGGTGTAAAATTATATTTCTTGGGGGCAATTTTGACTTTTGCCCTTGTGTATTTCCGACGCTGTGTGTGTGTGTCTGTCTATACAGTTTTCCCGAGGTTTACAGCTTTGGGATGTGGGGGGTGTCAACAGGCCGAGAAGGGGAGGGCACATGGACCAGCGAGACCAACATTTTCCGACCGTGCTCTGTCCATATAATGGTAAGGGAAACACTGATGTATGAATAATGGCAATATGCCAAATATTCATCAGTTGCAGCTGTAAATGTTCTTAGTTTAACATTACAAATTCAATTAATCTTGTTTTTGGTCAGATAAGGCAGGTGAAAATTTAATGTTTACACTATTTACTTTCTTCATATAGACAAATAAATCAAGAAAAATAATTGTCAGATAAATCCATAACGCAAATATTTCTGTACGTTCTGTGAGTCGGTTGTATAAATGTCACACACTCAACCACTCAAAAATTCAACATTGGCTCAGGTTTTAAAAAAGGAGGTAATCGATCACACCTAATTATTGTAGTGTTATACAATATATTTAATTCAATTGATTTGACCTGAAATATTTAACTTCATGTAAACCCATTTCTGAAGGTTGAACCAAAGCAATTATTTCCTATTTTCCTAAATTAAAATAAATAGATTGGTTTTATTACTAAATGTAAATAATCTACTTTGTTAAACCTGAATATTTAAAATTCATTTAAACAACTTTTGAATATGGGAGTTAAATATTTTTTGAGTCGTGTCGAATAAAAATTTTAAGTCATAATTTAATATCTATAGACCCAAATTTAAAAATATATATATTTTAATACCTTTTGATTTAAACTCAAATCAGTTTTTAAGGTTCAATTCATTTCATTTTAATGGCATTAATAAATATATTAAGTCCCTCTCCTCTCCAAAATAGGTCTACGGTGCCTTACATCTAAAAACATGCCTCTTCCATCTGAAAAAGTGCTGGCCATCTTGCCAACATGTCTTCAATGCTCGGCTGCTTATGCACCATTAGTTGTCTACGGTATCCAAACGTCTTTGCCATCTTTTCTTTTATTGTTTGACGGGTGTTTTTTTTCTGTAGTTCAGTCAAAAGGGAAACCCTCTCTTTTTCCTGGATTCCCGTAGTCTCACCTGGCAAAGATGGAAAATGATAGGCCTCAGCTTGTCTAGGTCTCTTGACATTCTTTGCTTGGTAGGAGTCCCCTTGAGACTTGGATTTCAAAGAATTCACTGTGACCTCGGCAGATACCGTGTGCCTTAAGTTGGGTCCTGTAGTTGGCCATTTTCATCTTCATCCTGTGCTTCCAACCATAGCTCTCATTGAAAGACCCTGGTTCTTTCAGGCAGGGGTGCTTCTTTGTCAGTGCTTCAGCAACATCACTGAAGTCATAATCTTCAGGGTATGATGTGTATGTGTAGATGCTTTCAGCTACTTTCTCCAGTCTGACCGCATGTCTGACAGCATTTTTGAGCTAGCCGTCAGTCTAGTTTGGCTTCTCATGTACTCTGCATTCCCCCTCTGCAGTTGACATTCTGTGTCATAGGGGAAGCGTGGGATTAAGAACTGTGGTGGCCACTGTTGGGCCCTTAGTGAGTCTGAGGAAGGGCTGCTAAGCAGTATTGTGTCGTCTGTATGCACAGACACTGAGGAGGCATCACTGTCCAGTCCAACCAAAGGGATGCTACTCACTGGGGGATCAAGTGCGTACAAGACAACAGTTGAATCAGGGTCTAACTGGATTACTTTGAGAACTGTAAGATCCTTAATTACAGTTGTAGAGGTCAGATTCACAAATATGTTCCCAAAATCTGTGTCCTTGTACTGCAGCCTTATGAATCCCCCTAATCCAAATGCATTTTTGACCTCATCGCTTAACTCTTCCAGTGAATTGGGAATGCCGTGGCATAGCTCCAGTCTAACGCTGCTGTCTTCACTCAGGATAACCAGCAATCGAACGGGTGTGTTTTCCGTCATGGTGCCCCGTGAGAGAGACAAAATAAAGATAAATATGAATCAGTTGCTTTTTAATATTTGTAATAGTTGATATTTTCAACATTAAACTTAAGGTGATAATATATACAATGCACTAAAATATCTTTCCGGCTCCATTTCTTAGTAAACAGGCACAATAGATTTGGCTCCCGCAACGTTATAAAATGAATTTGTTGAACAAAGACCTCCTCCTCAAGTAGGCTGACTGTTCGTCGCCACCTAAAAGTATCTGAATTAAACGGTTTTGTTTCCTCGTCTTCTGAAAAAGTGAAGAGGATTAACTATAAATCATGTATATAATATACTGTAGTGGAGTTAAGAGAATAAAACCCTAAAGCAAATTTTTTAATGACTTTGTTGTTGTGTTCCACCTTAAGACTGACTTTACACATGTATGTATATTTTGAGTGTTATCAGCCGCATTCCTCCAATTGTGTAGTCAGACAATGGGTATGGATCCAAAAGTTCGTTCTGGTTAACCAGTTCCAACTTCCTCATTGGACACGGTTTCAGTTCGTATGCCCTGAAATGTTCCCAGTACCACGCACTCAGCTTTCTGACGATGAAAAGCAGATTATCCTCGACAACAATCATCTGGGTTATTTCCACAAATTCAGGCACCCCTGCCGATGAGCCATGAGCTGGGATCATTCCATTCCTATAGTTCAGGCCATTGCACGTCACACTTTTAGCCAGGCATACACCATCCAACTCTGCTTCAGAGCAAATGCTATGTCGTCTTGTAAAACATCAATGGGAAGACTTGAAACATTTGCTA